TAAAAAATAATGAAACAAAATTTAAATTCCGTATGATAACTTAAGCCGGTCACGATAGCCGAGCGGTCTGAGGCATGAACTGTCTTCGCTCGCTGGGAAGCAGGGATCATAGGTTCGAATCCCACACAAGGCATGGACGTCTATTATGTGTCTGTGTTTGTGTTGTCCTGCGTATAGGTAGCGGCCATGTGACGAGCTGATCCCCGTCCGAGGAGTCCTTGCGTCTGTAAAATGATCAGAGGGAGAGGAACGAACCCCGACACGGCAAATGTGCGAGGAGGAACGGATGAAGTAAGTAGCTCTGATAGCTCAAGTGAGTAGGGGCTAAATTCTCACCGTCTTTCAGGTTAATTCAGAGTGGATGAAGCGACAACTGAACAGGTTTTCTTTAAGTTCATTCGGTTCTTCTCTTTTCCTCGCCATACGCCTCGCCTTGCTCCCTCGGTCTTCGTTTTGGCTGCTAATAGACTAAACAAGTTAGTTCGTAAAATTCGAGGTATTCACGGCTGTAACTATGAAGAACGCCGACTTTTGGATGTGACGCAGTGTATATCTTGTGTAAACCGATGTTTCGGAGGAACGTATTGCCTCCATCTTCAGGGCGAACAATCAGTGAGCGAGGAACCACCTCCTCACGCTGGTTCCTCGCTCGCGGATTTTTCTATCCCGAAGATGGAGGCGATACGTTTCTCCGAAAAGTCGGTTTACACTAGACCTAGATGGTGCCACATCCCAGAACACGGAATTTTTCAAGCAGTTAGTTGTCTCTAGCGAGATATGAAATCCTCTTGCTGTATCACGGATCGTGTCCTCTCCTCCACTTCAGAATTAAATTTAAATAATAAAACCCCTTAAAAGTTGGACCACAGGACCGGTTCGTCACAAGATGTCTGCCAAGGCAGGACAACACAGTCGAGACGTGGACATGCAGTAACAGCAGCAGTTCTTAAAGACGCTGTGAGTAACTCGGACTGTACAGCGTGGGTGACTGCATGACAGCGGATATGTATCGAACCTGATGCAGAAGGAAGCGGTTCTTGTCTGATTTAAGCTATTATCCTTGTATTGCCTAGAAGGAGCAAGGAAACCCACAAAATTCCTCTCTGAATAATATGACTCGGCCGAATGTAAACCGGACATTTCTAGAGATGGACAGGGTATGTAGCACGAAGAGGTAGAAGAGAAATGCATGTAGTATATTGATGGGAAAGCCAGAAGGAAAGAGACCATTAGAAAGAGTAAGAAGCATGGTGTGGGTAATATTAAAATAGATCTTAGAGAGATAGTATGGGGTGGTATGGACTAAATCTGGCTCAGGATAGAAACCAATGGATGGCTCTTGTGTACACGGTAATGAACCTTAGGGTTCCAGAAAATGTTGGGAAGTTCTTGAGTAGCTGTACAACTGGCGGCTTCTCAAGAAGGGCTCAGCTGCGTGGAGTCAGTTTACCATCTCCAGTGTACAAGTAATTGGCTGGGCAGCTTGAGCCGATTCGCACGGTAAGAGCGATTAGAAACCGGCAGCTGTATAAGACCGTAAGCACTTGAGATAGCTTGACTCTGTGTTCAATCAATTGTTAAGTTCGTGCATACAATAAGTGAGATTATACGCGGGCGAGCCCTCAGGCGGTAGAACTGGTGCCTCCTGACGTCAAGGCGAGCTGACCTGTAACGCCTAATTACGCTTCGCGTTTGCGCTGTCTAGCAAACTCACTGTACTTAAGACAGTACGTCAAAAATACGATCCCTCATGGGAGCAGATGTTCATTAACAAATCGCATAACCAATTCGCTTACTAGTTCCGTAGAACAGAGTCGTTTTTGAGGAAATACAGTGGGCAATGCCTCGCCTTTTATGGAACCCGAAAGTTCATTAAGTGTTCGCAAGGCCGTGCCGCTGACTGCTATCCTAAGCTAACGTTAACCAGTCCACACACTCAGACATTGTTTATTTCATATCCATTTGTCTTGCGATATACGGGGGTTCGCGGTAGCGTAGTTGGCTGAGGCGCTATGCTACAAGCCGGAAGGTCGCGTGTTCGAATCCCGATGTGGTGGATTTTTTTCAATTTACCTAATCCTTCCAGCCGCAGTATGGCCCTGGGTTCGACTCAGCCTCTAACAAAAATGAGTATCAGGGATCTTCCTGGGGGTAAAGGGAGACCGGCGCGTAGGGCTGACAACCTCACCGCCATCTGTGAGCTGATTGTCTAGAAAATGTGGGAACCTCCACCTCTCACAACCCTATGGGCCTTCACGGTCTGTTACACGGATAGCTTTACCTTACCTTGCGAATTACGATTGTATGCTTTTCAACTGTTTTCTTTCTTCGGGTTTTCCAACCGATATTTCGTATACACTTTCTGTCTCTCTCATGCTACATGACCTGCCAAGCTCTTACTACTTTCGTGTTTGGGGAACAGATTCTTTGAATCTCAGCTGTGAACCTTGGGGCACCCGATTTCTCCAAGCGAGTGATAGAATAAGTCACGACAGCCTAACTAGAAATTCCTTCCTACCCATCATTCATGATAATCTATTGGTCCTTTTCGACATTGCATGAGCTCTTTAGTTGAAAGGTCGTGATTGAAGAATATAAGAACTGTTTACCGTACAATTCTCTTCCTACGATATTTGTATCCAAATTGGGTCGTCTGAGGGCTTCGCTGTAAATCGTTCTGCCGCTCAGGCGGAAGACCTGGAAGCATGAAGATGCATAGTTCGCTGCAAGCTCTGTGACGACGACGCCGTAGTTTCTGTTTCGGAATCTTAAGGGAGCTTTCTGTCGTTTAACCCAAGAATCCATATAAGACCGAGGCCCTGTGTAACATTCCGTGACGAATCTTTCTGTTTCTGCTGTGAGAAGTTGTTAGCCTAATGTTCAACCCCCAAGCTGGACGACTACCCCTTGTCGAGTGTCTGCTACTGCTTATTAAATACATCCGCAGTTATCGTCCGTATCCGGAGAGGATATCCTGCATCCACGAGCTGTGCCGTGGCGATAGGGGCTCGCTTAACGCGATATGAGCAACTGACGACTTCCCAAGGACCCACCTCTACGGAGTTAGTTAGTTAGTTAGTTAGTTAGTTAGAGATCTTTCGATGTGTGTGAAGTGGATTTAATGTCGTGTCCATTATAATAATATATTTCATAAGAGAGAAACATGTCTAACTCCAGTCAGAACGAAGCTCCTGTTGGCAGCTTTCTCTGTTTGATACATGGAAGGAAGTGGGGACTGTTTTCCAGGTCCCTCAGAAATTATGAGAAATCTCCACGTATGTGGATATCATCATAACGTGTTACTCAAAGGACTTCTGACTTAATGCGAGGTCATGAAAATGGAAATATAATACGGAGAATAAATATAAACTTCTAAAAACTTTGAGATATTTTGTCTGTTCTGTAAATATAACAGTGAGAGGGACGGCATACAGTTCGCTGCATATCCGCGTCTGCTGCCTGAACGTCGCTGAGTTCAGTCACAAGTTTCAGTAAGGCGCAAGAGCCGTGTTTCTTTACGGAATTTTCAGAGTTCTGTTAGGCAGAAGATCATATTAATTTTTACGTTTTCGATAATATTCATGGAGTATGTTATGAATGGCTAAACATGTAGCGCTTATTTTATTTATTATTTATTTTATTTGTTATGTTCTATATATTTTTTGCTAGACGTTCGAAAATAAATCCAACTTCTTAGGTAATTTGAAATAATAACGTTATTGGAATGAGAACAAACTTCCATTTGCTAAGGAAAAGTAATTTCGTCTCGTTGAGTTATGCATGTACTATGATAACAAAAATAAAAATAAAATTATGAAAAAATGCATTGATTTAGCTCAGAATTTAATATAAAAATTCTTATTCGGATGAATTTTTTTTTTTTACCGACAAGGATTATCTTCTGGGTTTTATCGCCGTGTAATCTGGCGAAAGTTCAGCGACGTTTCGTCAAGCAGAAATTTCCACTTGTTTCTTGTTCTTTGCTTGGATTTCTCTCCAGTTCTGAAGATGGAGGCAGAAAGTTCCTCCAAAACGCGAGCCTCTATCCGATTTAGAAGGCTTTAAACCCCAGAAGAGCGCATTGTTAATGGCAGGAGAAACAAAACTCACGCGAAATTTGCAGGTGTAGAACGATAGGTTTCAACTCACGTTAGAGACGACACCGTCGAGTGGAGGTCCCGGTTCGACACCCAGCCCGGACATTGCGTATCCACACAGAAACTCTTCGTGTGTGTTTTTTTTTTTTCTTTTTTGCTTCTTGGGGTGGGGTGAGGCTGAGTCCATTTGTTACGTCGGCTACTAGCTGGCCTACTGTACCAGCCCCGGGTGATAGGTGTTGATGAATGTTGAGCAGTTGGTGGAAAAAGAATTGGCAGGGAAAACCGAAATGCTCGGAGAAAACTTGCCGCAAAGCCACTTTCTCCACCACAAACCCAACATGACCTGCCCTACTATTGTGCAGAATCAGACTATAATACAAAGGTGAAGTTGTCCCTGCGCTTAACTAATTAAGCATTACGCCATGAAGGCGTATGCGGGAGTGAATGTATAGATCCAAATTGTCTTGACCTCGGCACTAGCTGGAGGTGAGTGGTCAGCTTCACACCCCGGCCGCTTTATTACACTCTACTAAAAACAGCGTCGTTAAACAACCCACCCCTCCATAATTTTATCTATAATTCTTATCACCACCAATGCATAGTCCCACCGGTTCTTCAAAACAATTTGAGGTCAAGGCGGCCGGCACCTAAGGTCAAGTTCAGGCCGCGCCATACTTCAGGCAGTTAGTCGCCGGTCTCTCTGTGGGAGTGTGACAACACTATTTCGAAAATAAGCACTGGGGAACCATCCTGTACTGACCCTGTACGTCTACAGGGCCAACAATTCTCTAATTCGTCTCCAGGAAAACCTAAAATCTCATATTCAACTCTCATTTTCATGTAATTGAAATGTGACTATGTTAACATCTATAGAATAAAGTAAATATATGTCGAACTTACTTGTTAACTATTCATGTTCAGATGACAGCAAGTTCGTTGTATTGGCATTTACACGTGGTAGAACAGTGTCACGTCGTCACGTGTCTACGCACAGCCACTACACAGCAGGACGCACTGACTGAGGACTAGCAGACATCAACAGCGCACCCTAACTTCCGAAGTCCCTAAACAACTTTGAGTGACGCAGGGGAATAGAACAGGTCGCCAGCGTCTGCACGCCCTCCCTCGCCGTGTAGACTTAGCACGCCACGCCACAACTGACCAACGCCCCCTCCCCCCCACCCCATTTTATTGGACTTGAAACTGCAAGGCGAACAACGAAACAGGAACAACTGGCTCTCTCTGCGTCCGAGCGATTTCAGGACCAAAGTGCAGAGAAAACGCGTGCCATGTATTTGGCCCTCTTGAAGACGGGGGTACTGAAACTTACAGATAAACAAAATAACAAGACAACTACTTCATGAAGCAAAGTTCTTGAGAGTTTAATAGTTTCTCGGCTCATAAACAAATTCCCAGAATTTTATTCAACCCGACAATTCATTTCTCTTTTCATAAGCACGTGACTACTGCTACACTAAACTGGGAACTACTGTATTACTTAACGAATTTGCGATCCTCCATGTTAAATGCACAACTCGCAACATCTGCGAGGCGACTGGTAGATTTACATCTGAACATTTCCTTTAATACCGGAAAATATTTTATGTTAACTGGTTTTTGGACCACTCTGTAGATTGAAGCACATGGAAGACACGTGATTGCAGATGAAGAGTAACTCCTTGATGGAGCAGGCTTCATGTAAGAGGCCGTATTACTGAGGTAATCAGATCAAGGCGTATGAGGTGGCTGAGATTTGTCTGTCATATGAAACAAAAATGCTGATCGCAGTGGCTCGAACACTGGGATCGGGGTTTCGAATCCCACTCGAGGCATGGATGTCTCTGTGTCTGTGCTGTTCTGTGTGTAGGCAGAGACCTTGCGACGGTCCTACCGACTGTGTGTAGGATTAAGGAACTAAAAAGCGGCCAGGGCCCAACAAAGAGCTGTAAAGCCATAGAGAGAGATGAAGCAAGAATTACAATATTGTAATTCAATTATGTGGTGGATAAAATGAAATTTTGAAAGAAACGTGGTGACTGAGGAAAAGCTTGATGACGTCGGTGCTCAATTAGAAACAAGCCAGAAGAGTCTGACAAAATCCTCGCGCGGATGACAACTGGGTCCATGTCTCTTCATGAAAGAGATTCCGAAACCTACGTGAGATTGACTCAGTCAACTGAGTACCTCATTCGGGGGCCTCAAATAACTGGCGTGTAAGTCCGGAGGCATTGCTTGAACTTGATGAAACTGATTCAGGATTCTGTAAACTCAATGGTGAACTAAGCCTAGGGGCTTCTAGAATATGTGTAAGGTAAGATTAAGGTATCCCTGTAACAGGCCATGGAGGACCACAGAATTGTGAGACGTCGAGGCTCCCACATTTTCTGGAAAATCGGTCAGCCTTGCGCGCTAGCCGCCCTTCACCCCCAGGAAGATTCCTGGTACTCGTTTCTATTAGAGGCTGAGTCGAGCCCAGAGCCATAGTGCGGCTGGAAGTATTAGGTAACGTAAAAGTTAAAGTTGTCCCTGTGTTTAACCAATTTAGCACTACGCCATGAAGGCGTATGGGGGAGTGGCTGGATATATCCATATTATCTTGACCTCGGCACTTGTTGGAGGTAAGTGGTCAGCTTCACGCCCCTGTCCAATTACCCCCGAGGAAAGAGCGCCCGGTACCCATTGGATAGGAGGTTGCATGGACCCCAGAACCGGTGTGGACGACGTGGAAAGGAGAAAATTGTTTAAAATTATTTATGACACACAACAGGATGCACACTATTAAGATTCTTGACTCTACCCTGACTCGAACTCCGACCCCTGAATCCTCCATCCCGTAGCCAGTCGCTATACAGACTGAGCTACCCCGGCACCTGGAAGTATTAGGTAAATTGGAAAAATCCAATGACCTCATCGGGAATCGAACGTGTGATGTTCCAGCTTGTAGCATAGTTCCTCAACCAACTACGCTAACGCGAGTCCTTCTAGAATATGTGTACTGACAATTATAAGGAATCTGATACCTGAATTTTCTACCTTGAAAATAAATGCAGCGGGTTATTCTGAAACGTCGGTGCTGCTGTAGCGGACTGCACAGTAGCAATCCCAGAAGACCTCAGTCTTGATGCTTAGCACCGTAAGAACCTCTACGTTGAGGCTGCTGAATTCAGCCCAAGCCCCTGTCTGTCTCGGAACTACGAGTACAACTTCACAACTGTGTGCATCCCTGCACGACAGAAGCGAACAATGTGGGGGGGGAGGTTAGAGAAGGGTGCACGTTGGTTGTCGGGGAAAAACAAGGGCAGGTGATGGAGCATTATACTATGGGCAAAATTATTACTCACAAAGAACTCACACCTTCCCACATTTTGCGCCTATAATATTCAGCGTGAAATAAGGTAAAATCATCTCTGTAAACAATTAATTAAGCGCCACGCCATTAAGACGTATGGGGAACTGGAGGTGTAACTCAATCATTCTTGACCTCGGCACTACACACAGGTGAGTCTTCAGCTTCACATCCTGGCCACTTTACCGCCAGGGGAAAAGCTTCCGTTACCTATAGGATAGGAGACTGGTTCGACCCCAGAGCCGGTCCTGGACACTGTGAAGAAGATAGGGAATTCCCCTACCGGGAATCGAAACCCGGCCGTCCAGTCCACAGCCCGTCGCTATATCGACTGAGCTAGCGCGATTCCTTTCGTTATGCAAGTCGTCTCAAAAACTTTCCGGGGCCTGCAAGGATAAATATTCATTAATTTACCCCGCGGCATGACTTTCGCTTTCCTTCCGTCTTCCCCTCGGTATTGATTCGGTGCGTGAGGCACGCATGTTGAAAGAGACTGGTAGTGCGTAGCTCGAGTCTGTCTTCAAGTCTTTAACGCTGTAACATCCCCCCCTCCGCCATTGCTCATGCTCCTGTACTTATGAGAGTGCTTGCAGTGTCTGTGCCGTCAGAAAGCAAGTGTAACTTCGCAATTGTATGGAGTGGATTGCGTTTCCTCCACTGGTCAGTGAGAACATTTTGAACTATGGACCATCCAAGTGAAATGAGGGTCTGTTCCTATTAGGTCTATTTAAGCACCTGATTCCTTGTTTGCATCACAGTATAACAAATATCGCCGGTCACGGTAGCCCAGCGGTCTAAGGAATGCACTGTCTTCGCTCGCTCGGAAGCCGGGATCGTGGGTTCCAATCCCACTCAGGGAATGAATGTTTATATACAGGTAGAGGTCTTGCGACGAGCTGATCACCCGCCCAACGAGTCCTACCGTATGTCTAAAATCTAGTAAACCGAAGTGAAACGGAGAGTTTCATGGAGCTAGGTCAAGGCCAAAATGAGGGCTGTAGTGCCAATGAAAAAAAAAATAACCAATATCACGAGCAGAGGCAATCTTTTATTTTCCAGGGGCCGCTAATTTGTTTTCTACGAAGAAAACTCATTCTAGTCCGCTCTCACAAGTTGATCTCTAAGACCATGTGTGGATAAGTTCACATATGCAGATTGCGACATTCTGAGTTATGACACCGCGTAGTCTGGTAAATAGTTACGGAAGTTTCGGAGGTACCTTCTATCTCCATCTTCAAGGTAGAAGTTGAAAATAAAGGCACGTTCTTCCAGACTTGGTAACATATATTAGACTACACGGTGTCACGATGTCATGATTCAAAAGACCATATTACACCCTCGGATAGGAGAGGTAAAGAGGATGGACGTTAATTTAAGAAGTTTCGGTAGCAGCCACCACCCTGCCGTAATTACCTTCAGAAGCGGGGGATGAATATGACTGATTACAAAACGGCGGTAGTTAAATGCATTCACTATATACACGCTAATACTCGTACATGGGGAGACGGCACAGCGCAGTAGGTATAGCGACTGGCTAAGGGCTGGACGACCGAGGGGTCAGAGTTCGAGTCCCAGTAAAGCAAAGAATTTTCTTTTCCTCACGTGGTCCAGACCGGCTCTGGGGCCCATCGCCCTCCTATCCAAACGGTACTGGGGCTCTTTCCCGGGGAATAAAGCGGCCGGGGCGTGAAGTTGACCACTCACCTCCAGCTAGTGCCGAGGTCAAGAAAATGTGGATCTATACATCCACTCCCCATACGCCTTCATGGCGCAGTGCTTAATTAATTAAGCACAGGGACAACTTTACTTTTGCCTGGTCACTACATTACTCTAGTCCTAGGGGATCGGAAGGCTGACACGGCATTGCACTTCCTGAGCTACAGTTTCTGACTCAACTTACTCTGGATGCTAATGAAGGCGATGGTAGAGAACAGAAGTTCTCGAAAGTCCGTGGCTCTCGACTGGGCTGGTCTTCTGGCGACTCTTAACTACGTAACTGTGGAGGGCTATACGGCATAGACTCCCGTGTCAACTGCTGTCAGATATTTTTATCAATCCTCCCTGTGTCTACCGACCCCGAGGTGTTGCTACACGTATAATTTTGTTTGGATGAGAAACGTCGTCCCTGACATTAAGGGAGGAACATAGACTGAGGGTGTTTGAGAACAGGGTGCTGAGGAGAATATTTGGACCGAAGAGAGATGAAGTGACAGGAGGTTGGAGAAAACTGCATAATGAGGAGCTTCATAACTTGTACTCTTCTCCAAGTATAATTAGAATGATCAAGTCAAGGAGAATGAGATGGGCAGGGCATGTAGCAAGCCTGGGGTAGAAGAGGAATGTATATAGCGTTTTGGTGGAAAAGCCAGAATAAAATATACGACTAAGAAGACCTAGAATTAGGTGAGAGGATAATATTAATATGGATCTTAAAGAAATAGAGTGGGTAGCATGGACTCTGTTCGTCTGGCTTAGGATAGGAACCAGTGGAGGTCTTTTGTGAACACGGTAATGAACCATCGGATTCCATAAAACGTCGAGAAATTCTTGAGTAGATGAGGGAATAGCGATTTCTCAAGAAAGACTCAGTTGCATGTAGTTAGTTTGTTTGTTTGTTTGTTTGTTTGTTAGCTAGTTAATTAGCTAATTAGTCAGCTACTTAGCGGTAGTGTTCTATCCTTTTACTTGAAAAGTATCAGGTTAAAATTTTTGTTTCATTAAAATATACAAAACCATGGCGTTATGTTTCCCCCCCCCCCCGCTCGTCGAAATGCAGCGGTTGACAGCTCTGCAGACTAGGTATCCCGTTTTATACATAATATTAGCCCGGAAATCAGCTGTTCCCACAGCTTTTCGTTAATTTCTGCCCCCTCTCCATGCAAATCTTTGGACATCACTTATTAATAAGTGTACGTTCCAGTCACTTCCCTTCCGAGTTCTTTGCACTTCTAGGATCTAAAGTGCTCGCAGCCATGGTTACGAAGTTTCTGTCTTCTGGGATATAACACAGCGCAGTCCGTTGAAACTAAGCCTGGTTGAAACATCAGCTGATTTCAATGGACTAACGGTGTTATATTCCAGAAGAGAGAACTTGTATGTATTTGTAATTCGTCATCCACAATAAATTTGGTGCTGTTTAACCCATGTAACCTAATTCAGTAGCCACAGTCAAATCGCTTAAACCTCAGTGTTCCCAAGCGAATGCTGGGATAGCAGGCACGCCCTTAAGCAGTCCAAGACCGCCACCTTCCTAATCCTTACTTAACACAATTCATGATTGGCTGTCCATTTTATTCGGTGCTGTAAGTCCCTGTAACTCTTTCAGTTAAGATCGATCTAAGAACCAGTCAATACAGTAAGGTAAAGCTAAATTTGACCCGGAGTTTAATTAAGCGTTGCTCAGTGAAGAAATATGGGCGATGGAGTTACAAGTATGTTTAGCCTCTGCACTGAATGAGAGGTGAGTGGACAGCTTCACGTTCCACTGCTCTACAGCGACTTTGCCCCTTGCACCCACTGGATGCGAGACTTGAGAACCATCGTGGGCTAGGGAACAAATGTAGGCAGACTGGCCTGGCTCACTGGTTCGTTGGTTATTGGGCTATCTCACTGGTTGGTTGGTTATTGGGCTGTCTCACTGGTTGGTTGGTTATTGGGCTGTCTCACTGGTTAGTTGGTTATTGGGCTGTCTCACTGGTTGGTTGGTTATTGGGCTGTCTCACTGGTTGGTTAGTTGGTTGACTGGTCTGTCTCACTGGTTGCTTGTTTGGTTGGCTGGCTGGATTGTCTTGATTGTTTGGATGGTTGACTGGGGTGTCCTCCTTGTTGGTTGGTTGGCTGGCTGGGTGGCTGTTTGGTTGGTTGGTTGGTTAAGTAGACAATTTGAATATTTGCTCCCTTGGTTAGAAGCCTGGCGAGTCAGTGGGCTCATATTTCAATAAAGAGGGGGATACCGTTTCGCAAGATTGCGTGAGCGGTTGGGGGCACATATTTCAGACTTCCGAGTACTCGCAGCTGTCTTTTCCGCTCTTTTCCATACTCACGAATCCAGAGCGTCTTATTTGCGTGTGGGGGCAGGGTTTATCTACTTCGTCTACTCTTAAAGTAATCTCTAACCCAGATCTATTTTGACACGAATGCAATCAACAATGTAACAACGAAATTATTCTTCATCATATGAAATACGACTTGCGCTGTTATAAAGTAGATCTAATTTCTGGGTAGAATCTAGAGGAGTTCCTGAACTGCTCGCTCTAATAAACCGGACGTTCCGCAGTTATTTAACCCATTCATTTCATGCCTTAAAGGAAAGGCGTTAGCCCTCAACTACAAAACCAGCCGGTTATGCTGTTATTGTGATAACTGTAGGATGCAGAGCTTCGTATGTTAAAGCAGCTAGCACATAGATACCCACTGAGTTTGAAAGGTAGACTAAAAGTTGTATTTGACGGTAAAATATGATGTACCTGAACTAAATTACGAAGGAATGAAGGTATAGCTCCATGCACGGCCGCGCCATAGCTCAAGCGGTTAGTCGCTGGCTTTCCACCGCGGTGGCCCGGGTTCGACCGGGTTTGGTCAAGTGGGATTTGTGGTGAGCAAAGTGGCGCTGGGGCGGGTTTTCTCCGAGTACTTCGGTTTCCCCTGACAATCTTCATTCCACCAAATTCTCCGTCATTATAAACATCAGGGGCAGGCTACAATAGGCCAATCAGTGGCCGCCGTGCCGAGTGGACTCAGTTGGACTCCACCCCCCACTAAGCGAATTAGAAAAATAGCTCCATGCATTCTTGATCTTGACAACACATAGAGATAAGAGGGCAGTTTCAAACTCCGGCAGCTTTACTTCCGGGGAAAGGACCTCCAGTGTCAATTGGATTGGAAGCTGGGATGAACCTCAGAGAGGGACAGGATGCAGTGGTGAAGAGAGGCTCTTTATTCCTGTTGATAATCGAAAACATTCTCTGGTCGTTCAGTCCATAACGTAGTCTCTCCAGTGACTGAGCTACACTGGCTACTTGTACACGACGATGCATGTATAATGCAGTTATGTTGATATGACTCGGTCCCCAGACCCTCGTTTACGAAAATAGTTTGCACCACGCGAATGTGAGGTTAGCGCGAAGGCGGGAGACCCATCCTGCTACACGTTTGTGGCGCAGAATTTGTCCTGCATCCAGGATTGTTCTGGTTGCNATTACACGTAACTGAGTACATCATAATGTTTGTGGCGCAGAATTTGTCCTGCATCCAGGATTGTTCTGGTTGCCTGATAGCGCACGCGAGTTCGTTGCACCGCGTCCAGATGGCGGGCGCATGCACGGAACATGGTTGTTAGTACGTAATCCCACTATCATTGATATAAATGAGGCATTGTTCTCAGTAGGTTAGCATTTCACGGAACACGAGAACTCGGTGAAATTTTCATGAAATGAACTGTGGGCAGAAAACTGCGAAATGCTATGTGAGAATTCGTTAACTTTGCTTAGTTCTTCTGTGCTTTAGGCAGTAGTTAGTCTTCTTATTTTACAAAAAAAAGTGTGTCACATTCCCACTGGGAAGACCGAGGCGTAGGTGGGTGGACAATATTACAATGGATCTTAGAGAGATAGGATGGTATGGTATGGATTGGATTGAGCTGGCTCAGGATAGGGTCCAGTGGAGGGCTCTTGTTAACAAGATAATGACCCTTTGGGTTCCATAAAATGTTGGGAAATTCCTGAGTAGGTGCAAGAATTGGCGGCTCCTCCAGAAGGGCTCAGCTCCATGAGTAAGTGTGTCACATTCAGTCATGTAAAAGACAGGAGAGATTCTGCCTCATTGTATTACTTCTAAAGTACCTAAAACAGCAAACAAAAATTTTCCTGCAGGCTATTTTAATAACATGTTCCTCGATTTCTTATACTGGATTTTGTTTTCATGCTTTATACAAAATATACCGACGCTGCCCCCATTTTCAGGTTAGAGGAGAAACTTCTGTTCTATCCTGAAGATAAAGGCAGTAAGTTCCTCCGAAACGTCAATAAACTTCTACCAGACTAAATGGCGTCACATCCCAGAATACACTTTTAGATAGGCCTATAGCCCGCTACTGTACAGAAGGGAATTGCTTACAAATAACACGAAAATCATTCTCTGCTTCGATGAATATTGCACACAGAATTTGTTAATGCAATGACAAGCCCCGTATTGTTGATACGAAATTTGAGTCAGGAACTGAACCAGTGTCTTCAGAGTATGAACCCACGTTCGGTTGCACACAATTCATTTCGGCCCCTAACCGCGTGTGAAGACCAGTGACGCAATCGTTACATTGACCCTGCCTGGTGTCCCTAACCTCAATGCAGTCCTGAAACACGTGACATGGGAACAGCAGCAAACCATCTGCACTCAAGAGAAGTCTGAATACTCATTTTATTTGGTAAATCAAAACAATTCAGAAACTGAGTTTGAGTTTATACCTGATCCATGGTGTCCGAAGAATTGTGTAAGACGGAAAGGACTTCCTTGTTTGATGATTTCGGGCCAACTGTTCTCTTTCATTATGACATTCTTCCCTTAAGGGCAGTAGAGGTAATAATAAACAGCATTTTCGAGGCTGTGAGGAAGATGTGCCATCCTGATCAGAATATGGGGAAGATACTCGAGTGTTCTATGCAGACTGTACTGAAACCTCACCCACGACCACAGACTGATGAGGACGTGAATCTCTTCCATTTCAGATTTAGATAATATTGTAAGAGGGTTGATCAACGCGTTGCCAGGCAACAACTCTGTAAACACTGACCAACACGCAATAACAGATGATCTTCTGAGGATATGTCCTTTTCGGGTTTCGGAGGAGACGTGTTGTCTTCATGCTCAGAAGGGGATGTCTCTGTTTCTGTTTCAGGATTAGAAAACAATCTCTTTTCAGACTCCGTGGAGGAAGTATCTTTTTTCATTCCTGAATTAGAAAATAAATCTTCCGAGGAAAAGCCCTTTGTAGGATCCGAAGGGAGCGAGTGTGTGTCGCAGTTATAGAGCGCGTTCAGCTTGGCTAGGTCCATCGGACTGACCCGCACGCGCTGACCAATAGCGAAGAAAGCTTTGCTGTCTCTCGGCACAATCGTGGCACTCAGGCGGTCCTTGGAGAAGGCGACAGCGCGGTAATGCATCACGCTGTTGTAGTCGTAAGGCAGCCACTCGTGTGGCTCGTAATGAGAGCGTGCCCGGAAGTTGAATTCACGTCCTTGAACGAAAACAAAAATATTAGGTAAGTACAAAATTATCATAAGATCTAAAATCTTGTGACGATGGTATTAATATAATTATCGTGTTTCTGGACTGGGTGGAGTGGGGTAGATGCACATCATTAAGTACCAGAACGTCATCTGTAAGGTGGGGGTAGCTCCCTTGCTTCGTGGTGTCCCCCGAACAGATGTAGCAGACGGAGTTGGGTGAAAGGCAAGTGTCCGGCGCCCTCAAACGGGACCCTCTGCCTAAGGGAAGGAAAACCCTACAGAAAAACAGAGGGTAGGGGGCTCTTCAGGCGTGGTGAAGCCAACCAAGTAAGGGATAAGAAATCATTGGTCGTTCTAAGTTAAAAGGGTTGGGTAAAGGCTAACAGCATCTCCCAGAAATCCAAGGGGGGTAAGGTTAAACTTAAAAGGACCATATAGCCAAAAAGAAGAACTGCTTCGGGACTTTGTCCATCGTCCTGTTTCTATTTAAAACACAAAGTTTCGGAGACTGGAGTCTGTCTCCGTCTTCAGGTGGAACCGACTCAGCAAACTGGACCACTGAGGTCTAAGTGCAAGGGCCGAGAAGGCCTACCCCTTCATACATACATACATACATACATACATACAACTAATAGCTTCTCAGGAGGGTCTCTGCTAGTAATTAATTAGGACCGAAGAGGGAAGAACACTCGAGAGATCTAGGTGTAAATTGGATTATAATATTAAAACGGATTTAATAGAAATTGAATATAAAATTATAGATCAAATTGATGCAGCGCAAGATAATGAGGTCCAATGACGGGACGTTGTGAACACGATTATAACCTTTCGGGTTCTATACAGTACGGGGAATTCCTTGATCATCTGAGATGCTATTAGCAAAGAGTGTGTTCCATGGGCCGGGACAGTTCAGTCGGGGATACTGGCTGAATGACCGGGGTTCAATTCCCAGCAGGGGCAAGAGTTTTTTTTTACTCCGCATACCGACTCTGGGGTCCACTAAGTCTTCTCTCCTGAGTACCAGAGGCTTTTTCGTCCGGCGACAAGCGGCCGGGCCGTCAAGCTGATCACTCACCTCCATCTATAGTGTCAAGGTCAAAAATGATGGAGCTATACCTGCTCTCCCCTGCAAGTCTTCAATTTCATAGCCTTACCTACGTTCCATGGAATTAGACATTGGAATCTATTGAATGCTCACAAGTCTTACTTTGCCTGCTACTCTCTTAAGTAAAGTCAATACGAACCAGGTACAATGTTGTTCCACAAGATGCTGATGAAGGCGTCGCGATCAGGTCGAGTATGTTCGTGCCAGAAGCCTAGGGCGTGCAGTAACTCGTGCTGAATAGTGCCTGTCCTCAGGCAACCAGGAGAGCTCAAGTACAGGTCCATCCCCCGGCCTGTCGGATGGTAGCCAACCTGAGACGCACAGCTGAGAATGAATGAAGTTCGTAACCTTCTGTAGTAACACTTTTATATGCATCTGAAGTTAACTGACTGCTAACTTGCTGCTCGTTCTTGTAAGTTCAGATCGTACCGAGCAGGAAACACATTACGTCTCCTCTACAAAGATCGATTGGTTAATGTTGTTAGGGAAACAACCGTTGTTATTTGTAACAACCGTGTGAAAGACGCAAATACAGTCTGCGGGCAGAAGGAAGAGTTTTAGTATGTTAAAGCAGGTGGTACATGTATCGACCACTGGACGTTAAAGGGTTAAACTGGCCAACAGTAAGAAAGCTGGCAACTGTATTCGCAAAAGCGTTACCTCAGTGAGTCTGTTCACTCTTCTGTGAGTTTTTACGGCGCTTTCAGCACTACTAACTATAGCGTCAGAGGGTCGGGTGACAAAGAATGAGGAGGAAAGGATTTGGAAGGAGGCGGTAGTGGAATAATTGAGGTACTACTCCGACATTTGCCTGGAAGGCTTGAGATAAACAACAAGAATTTTCAGCTAGGATAGGCGGTGCCCGGCTGAGAATCGAACCGAGACATCTCATGTTGTTGGGCAAAGCTGAGCTCAAAGGGAAGTGCAGTTAAACCTGATGATTAAAGTCTGAGTTGCAGGCAGTGTCGCTAAATAAACTACAAATGAACAAAGACACATTCCTGAAGACAGACAATTTCAAAGCCACCACCGTTTGAACCTACAATTTCTTGCAACTTAAATTTGTTATCTCCAAAACTAGAGGTGCCTGGGTTCTTTCCGTTCCAAGCAGGTTTAAATTTAACACACGTATATCCTGTTTATGCACGCGGTAGCGTAGTTGGTTGAGGTACTATACTACAAGCCGGAAGGTCGCGGGTTCGATTCCCGATGAGGTCTTCGTATTATTCAATTGACCTAATCCTTCCAGCCGCACTATGGCCCTGGGGTCTACTCAGCCTCTCATAGAAATGAGTACCAGGAATGTTCCTGGAAGTAAAGGGTGGCCGGCGCGTAAGGCTGACTGACAACCTCACCGCCGTCTGTGAGCCGATTTTGTACAAAATGTGGGAGCCTCTACGTCTCACAACCCTATGGGCCTCCAAGGCCTGTTACAGGGACGGCTTTACCTTTTTACCTAACACCTTATTTATACGATGACTGGCTATGGGCTGAACGACCGAGAGGACGGAGTTCGAATTCCGGTACGGTCAAGAATTTTCTCTTCTCCACGTCGTCCAGACCTGCTCTGGGGTCCACCCAACCTCCTATTCAATGGATACCGGGGGATCTCTCCTCGGAGGTAAAGTGGCCGGGGCTTGAAGCTGAACACTCACCTCCTGATAGTGCCGAGGTCAAGAAAATGTGGATCTATACATCCACTCCCCCATACGCCTTCATGACGTAGTGCTTAATTAGTTAAGCACAGGGACAACTTTACCTTTACTTTATTTATACGCAGAGAAAAATGTTAAATATTCATACATAGGTACATCATGCAACTGCGACCGAAAGCAGTGGTGTGTGTACATTACATTGCCACAAGCAATACAGTTTTTAAGCTATGTTCTCTTTCTAAACTTTCATCCACTTTCACGTACCCACGATTTGTGTTTCGGAACAGAATGTAGGTAGGCTCAGTGGTCCTGCGTACGAATCTCACGCACGTCTCTCGCTGTAAGTCGGAAATTGCCCTCTCGATGATGGCCTTATGCTCATCATGAAACTCGTCACTGTACTCGTAGTACAAGATGCCGCCTGGCCACGTCCTCAGAGCCATGCCGCCCGCTATCTGCTTCTGCATCTGAAAGCAAAAACTTGTAAGATCAATATCGCTGAATATCGATTAATATTTTCTGATTAATTCTCCGCTTATTTAGTGGCGCTATTTGACTACATTGGTTCTGGAACGTTGAACGGTTAAATGATTATGAAGGCTGTGGAAGGAAGTAATTGCCTTTTGGAACTTTTTGCTTAAAGTAGGACCCATAAAGCATGAACTGTTTTTGCTTGCTCGAACACTGTGATCGTGGGTTCGAATCCCACTCGAGGGATGGATATCTGTATGCGTTCATTCTATGTTCGTGTTGTTCTGTGTGTAGGTAGGGGTCTTGCGACGGGCTGATCCCCCGTCCAAGGAGTCCTACCGTCTGTGTAAAGGATGAAGAAACTTAAAGGCAGCTGAAGTTCAACAGAAGTACTGTAGACAGATAGACAGCGTAAATTGTACGTTCACATTTACTATTCAAACGTGCCTAGAAGCGAAAATACGAAACCAAAGTAAAGGTAAAGTTGTCTCAGTACTTATTTAATAAATCACATGTACACCATGAAGACGTATGGAGGTGTGGAGGTGAAGCTTCACCATTCTTGACCTCGGTACTAGATTGATGTGAGTGGTTAGCTTCACGCCTCGGACTCTTTACCACCAGGAAAAGATCCTTTGATACCCATGGAATAGGACGCTGGGTGGACCCCAGGGCAAGTCGGGACACTGTAGATAAGAAAACAAAATCCCTTACCCTTGCAGGGAATCGAACCCCGGCCGTCCAGCCCGTAGCGCGTTGTTATTAAATTATGTTTTTAATTCGCACAGTGGGGGGGTGGAGTCCAGCTTGGCCCACTCGGCACGACGGCCACTGATTGGCCTAATGTACTTACCCCGGGTGATTACGACGATGTAGAATTTTGTGGAATGAAGATTGGCAGGAGAAATCGGAGTACTAGGAGAAAATCTGCCCCAGCGCCACTTTGTCTACCACAAATCCCACTTGACCAGACCCGGGCTCGAACCCGGGCCGCCGCGGTGGGAAGCCAGAGACTAACTGCTCGAGCTATGGCGCGGCCTTAGCCCGTCGCTAGACGGACTAAGCTATTCCGGCTCTAATGCGAAACAAATATTTGTGATTTTCGACGGATAAATATTTTGATCTATGTGTATTGGCATTTTTTCGGTTAACAGTCTGTATTATGAAAATGAATGAAATCAATAAGAACAACCTGTAATTTACGACATGTAACAAGCACTCCATGCACGAGGCAGCAAGTATGTAGGTAATACACTTCTTAGGCCTTCTGAAATATGGCATGGATGATTAAAGCAGCAAGGTAAGGTAAAGTTGTCGCTGTGCTCAAGCTGCCATGAAAGCGTACGGGGGAGTGGATGTACAGATCGACATTCTCTTGACTTCGGCACTGGTTGGAGAAGCAGTTACAAGCATTAAATTCGTTACTGTTATTTAAGACTTCAGCATGACCACAAAGTTCTACACAGAATAATCTGCTTATAGTTGGTAAACAAGTAAAAATTATACTCAAACCTCACAAGAAAAGGCTTCCCACTTTCAAAATTGACAACTATTATTTCAATGAAGAATTTCTCAAAATGTATAACAAATCGCTGGAGATGTGTAAAAGCAACATCCTGTATTCGATTTCATCTTTAAATCTGGAACACGCATTGATCTCGAAAACATGGTACCGAAAATCTTTGCTGAACTGACAACAAGCACATTATGTGACATACGCTCACCCGAAGGGACGGATAAACACTTTCGTGATTGCGAATGGATCTACTGCATGAATCTACTTCGGGTCTACAGCAGAGGACCTAATAAGGGGGCAGGACAGAACTCACAATTTCACTCTTCGCCAAATATTATATGGCTGGTCAGATGGAGGAAGATGACACAACCGGGACGTAATAAGCGAAGAAAGATAACAAATGCATACACAATTTTAATTTGAAAAATTGTAGGGCAGTCACTTGGGCGTTAAGCGGGAAAATACTTTTTCAAACATATCTTAGAGGCATATGATGTAAAGAAGTAGACTGGATTCACATCGCTCAGTATACAGACCATTATCGGTCTCTTGTGAATAAAGTAATGAGCCGTTGGTTTGTATAAAACGTGGAAAATTCCTTGACAAGACGAGTGCCTATATGTCTTCACAATTTTTTTCTATTTCTTTGCATTGGTGCTCATGCACTTGGATTTGCACCCTACGTTTGTAGCACAAATTTCTACCTCCTTTTCTATCCTACTTCCAATCACCTGCGTGATCTATCACAGTTTTTATTGTATATTACCTTATTACCTCCCACCGACTTAGCCTGGTCTCAGGTGATTAAATAGCTGTGTGAATCTGACATAGGTTGTCCAGTGACTGAGGTCAGCTCTTCCTAAGGGACCCAACTGAGTAGGTGTCTCCAGCCCCCTCACTTGAGAACGGAAACAGATCTCATTTTCGAAACGTCGTGTTTTCTAATTTCTAGAACATCAGAAGATGAAAAAAGTCCAAAAATCCAGTAATTCTGAGTGTCTGTAGCTTCGCAACGGCTCTGCTGCATACAGGTTTACATTTTGTTACGACTAAGGCTCAGGTCTATGAGGTCAGAATGAGACCGAAGCTATTCCTGGCACACATGCGTCTCATCAACTGACTCCATGGAGCCCTTCTTCAGAAGCTACTAGTTGTGCAGCTACTTAAGAATTTCCCAACATTTTAGAGAACCCAGATTTTCATCACCGTGTTTGTAAGAGCCCTCCACTAATTCCTATCCTGAGCCAGATGAATCCAGTCCCATCCTATCTCTCTAAGATCCATCTTAATATCATACTCTCACCTACGTCTATGTCTTGCTAGTGGTCTCTTTCCTTTTGCTTTCCAACCAGACCGATACCCTTTGTGACATTTCGTAACAAAATTATTTTCTACGGTGAGTTGTTAGACCCATGCCCAACCCCCAAATTGGAGGACCACCCCTTGTCGGCTGTCCGCGACTGCTTATTGAAGAATGTAGCTGTATAGCTGTTACTATGCTTTCGCGAGAAAGAACATGTGTTGCTTGTTAACGGCCGGTAAATACGTCAACGATACCCGGCCTATCGCTAGGCAATTGCTCGGTAAAGGGGTTCCCGTGGCAACGGTCGAGGTGTTGTTCGACTGTAACACTAAAAGCGGGGTTTTCTACGAGGGGCGTTCAAGTTCTAAAGTCTCCGATTTTTTTTCTCAGGACTGGGAGCAGATAGACACATGCGGTTTAGTTTAAAATACGTGTGCACTCTTTGTGAATGTGTGACAGAGATGGAAGCACTGTAGGGCACACAGAACTCTAGTGGTGACGGCGAGTGTGAGGAGTGTTTTTGATACTTAAAATGGCGACGTTTTCGTTACAAGAACAGCGAGTAATCATTCGTTTTCTCCACTTGCGTGGCGCGACACCCATTGAAATCCATCGCCAGTTGAGTGAGACATGTGGTGATGGTGTCATGAATGTGAAAAATGTACGTTCGTGGGCGCGACAGTTCAAAGAAGGCCGAACGTCGTGTGACAACGAACCAAAACAATCTCGGCCTTGCACCAGCCGGTCTGACAACATGGTCGAGCGAGTTGAGAAAGTTGTTTTGGAGGATCGCCGATTGAGTGTGGAAAACATCGCCCCCAAAGTTGGCATTTCCGTGGGATCTGTGCACACAATCCTGCATGAAGACCTGCGAATGCGGAAAGTGTCCTCCAGGTGGGTGCCACGAATTCTGGCGGACAACCACAAGGCTGCGCATGGCAATTTGCCAGGCGAGGTTGACACGTGATGAAGGCATGAATGGGACTTTGTTTTCATCAATTGTGACAATGGATGAGACATGGATGCCGTTTTTCAATCCTGAAACAAAGCGCGATTTTCCAGTGGTCAAAACAGACTCCTACAGAAGCGTTCATAGCGGCCACGGAATCAAGGTGTCGACGTTGTGAAAAATGTGTATGGCTGCAGGGAGATTAAGTTGAAAAGTGATAGAAGTTTCAAATTGTTTGTATGATTATTGTGTGAGAAAAAAAATCGGAGACCTTAGAACTTGAACGCACAACGTATGTGGTTCAAGCCGAGTTCCCGGAGTCAGAGTTGACAGCAGTTCAGCTGAGTGAAGTGACGAGAAGCAGTTGGTTGGTGAGTGAGAGTTCAGTTGTCAGCTGAAAGCCAGCCTGTGAAGACAGGAGGTTTGTATGAAACGGTCGCCAGCGTGGGACCCAGTTAGTTGTCAGCTGACAAAACATTCTGCACGGACGGCTGTGACAAGAGGACCTGGGCGCGGGAAGCTGAAGAATCTCCCTCGGTAGAATCCGTTGCCAGGAAACGGCTAGTGGAAACTGTAACAGACTGAGGACACCAGTCTGTGTGTCAGTGATCTGCGCAGTGTAGTTCCGAGTGGTGTATACAAGTGGTCAATAAATCCATTCACCAATCCAAACCCCGTCTATAGTCACACAACCCTAAATACGACATATGTTGGCAGCGGCCATCCATATCTGGAGACGGTCTTCTCCATCCACAACTTGAGGACAAGGGACCAACTTTACATGGAGAAGTGCCCCTTTTCGATAATCGAAAGGAGCTTCCTCCCGTCTGAAGTTATGTATATAATTATATATGAGCACGGATACTTCTCTGAACAAAGGCTTGAGACATGCCATTTGTAACTGTTTCTGCCTAACATGTATGTTAAATCTACTCTGTATATTTCTCTCAATAAGACGTCCTTCTACGCTTAGGTTTTCCAAAAATCCTCTTCTAATGAAGCATTCGAATCAAGATTTCGTACGCATTTCTCATTTCACTACCCTTAAGAAAAATACTTACTAATCTGAACTGCTGCTCCGGTCTCAATATGATATCTCCTTCAAAGAAATTTCCTTCTTCAATATCTACTACTCCAGCTGGGGTTTTGTGAACCATGTTCTGGGATGGACGCACAGATGTCAAGTAGGAGCTTCTCGATGGGCTGTATGCCCTCTTTCCTGACAAGTCATTCTCTTGAGGCACCACTGAAATGTTCTGTGCGTTTAAACATGGAAGTTGAGGAATTACACTCGTTTCGAGAACATTCAGGTAACCAAAAGTAACCAAAAAGAAATAATGACCAAACATTCTCCTCCCTGGTATGAAACTTCTCTTGCAGATGGAACCTTAAAAACTGGACACAACAGTCTGATGCAGTCTGCCAGACATATCAGATTGGAATGAAAGGTGACATAAACACGAGTCTATAGTCAAGAATGTCTAATGCTTAACTATTCTTACATAACCTAACATTAACAGGAAGACTACAAATGAACTGTTTACATTTCCGTTCTGAATAAATTAGAACTAGTCATCACAATATGTTGATGAACACAGTTTGTACAGGATGTGGCAGACTTTCGTATAGATTCGTTATATGTGTTCTAAAAATGTGATTTCGTTCTGACGCGAAATGCTTGCCGGCCGATCCATAGAGACTGGGAGAAAGGAAAATTATATTCGATTTATGCTACTTCACACACACTGCGACTTTTTGTTTTGAACACATGTATCACATAATTCGAAAAGTATCTGCAATTATACACTTTGATTATCGATTTTGTCCGATTTCTATTAATAATAATTTCAGGCAAAATCTCAAAGTAATTGATCTTTCTCAATACGGCAAAACATACAGCGAAGGTGTAATATCACAATGTACTGTCATAAATTATTTTTCCTTATATTTTCTAAATATAAAGACAAACAAATATTGTATAATGAAAGCAGTCTTCTGGGATGTGGCGCCGTGTAGACAGTGTTAACAGACGTTTCGGAGGAACGTGTCGCCTCCATCTTCAGGGTAGAAGATAAGAAGAAATCCGCGAGCGAACCAGCGTGAGCAGGTGCAGCAGACGGTTGCACCTGCAACTTGTTGCCTCAATCTTCAGGGTTCCTTCTTGTCTTCTACCCTGAAGATGGAGGCAGCATGTTCCTCCGAAACGTCGGTTAACACTATATCTACACGGCGTCATACCCTAGAAGACTGCTTTCATCATAGTCACCGCCGTGAAAACCTCAAATCTTACGTATTTTACATATTACTGAGGTATATAATTATGTTAATCTTGAATTTAGTATTATGTAGGTCTCAATTAGACCTATATGAAGTGAAATTAAATTCGCTACAAAAACATTTGTGTACACCTCCCTCAATTTAATTTAATCTAAATCAATTTCGCAAACTAAAAATGCAAAGAAATGAACGCCATCTCTACATTATGGATTTATTTCATGGTTTTATTTCTCCTGCAAAGAACGCAAAAATATTAATTCCAGATTTTATCATTAAAGTAAATACTCCACAAATTAAATCAATCGATGATATAATGTAATACATATTATTACGGATCACCCTGCAAGCAGTTCCACTGCTGATGGTAGAAATAACATGCACGCGACAGAAACGCGTTTCCAAGATTGTGGCTAACGGGAAGATGAATACAGATGAGCCATTAGCAAGAATGTTACTTTTTCTCTAAATTACTTTAAGTCATTAGTGTACAGTTGACACAAAATTAATAGCCTGAAATAGATCACTTCTGAGCCTCTTCTCAGCTCTTCTTACAGAATCTGAAACAAACGACTAAGAAAAGTGACCAGCTAAGGTACAAATCGGTGGTATGCTGTTTAGTTTACGCTGGTCCACACAAATTGTGGCTAGTAAGGGTCTTACGAATAATTTTTATGCGACTGTTCAATGTGGGCAAACGACATGTCTTTGAGAAATGCCGTCTTCTGGGATGTGGCGCCGTGTAGATCTTGTGAATCGACGTTTAGGAGGAACGTCGGTTCACACACAATCTACACGGAGCCACATCCCAAAGACGGCATTCTTCATAGTCACCGCTGTGAAAACCTCGAATCTTACAAGACATTCGGCTGATTAAAATGTGTTCAAACGAAACGTATAGTAAAGTCCGTGTAGGTAAACATTTGTCTGATAAATTTCCTATCCAGAATGGCCTAAAACAAGGAGATCCTTTATCCACCCCTTTTCAACTTTGCTTTAGGATATGCCATTAGGAACGTCCAGGTAAACCAGGTGGGACTGAAATTAAACGGGACACATCAGCTGTTGGCCTATGCCGATGATGTGAATCTACTGGGTGATAATGTAGATACCATAAAGAAAAACACACAAATTTTAACTGACGCAAGTAAGGAGGTTGGTCTAGAAGTAAACACAGAGAAAACTATGTATACAAGTTTTTGTCTCGTCACCAAAATACAGGGCAAAATCAGGACATAATGATAGGAAACAGCTGGTTTGAAAATGTGGCACAGTTCAGATGTTTGGGAACAACGATAACAGATAGAAACCTGATTCAGGAGGTAATTAAGAGGAGATTGAACTCGGGTAATGCTTGCTATCATTCAGTCCAGAACCTTTTGTTCTCTTGTCTGTATGGGTGTGAAACTTGGTCTCTGACATTAAGGGAGGAACATAGACCGAGGGTGTTTGATAACAGTGCGTTGGGGAGAATATTTGGACCGAAGAGAGATGAAGTGACAGGAGGTTAGAGAAAACTGCATAATGAGGAGCTTCATAACTTGTGCTCTTCTCCAAGTATAATCAGAATGATCAAGTCAAGGAGGATGAGGTGGGCAGGGCATGTAGCACGAATGGAGGAGACGAGAAATGCATATAGGATATTGGTGGGAAAGCCAGAAGGAAAGAGACCTCTGGGAAGGCCAAGGCATAGGTGGGTGGACAATATTCAATGGATCTTAGAGAGATAGGATGGGACAGTATGGATTGGATTGGTCTGGCTTGGGATAGGGACTGGTGGAGGGTTCTTATGAATATGGTAATGAACCTTCGGGTTCCATAAAATGTTGTGAAATTCTTGTGCAGCTGGAGAATTGGCCGCTCCTCAAGAAGGGCTCAGCTCCATGAGTAAGCAAGCAAGTGAGTGAGTGAGTGAGTAAGTAAGTAAGTAGTTATTGGAGAGGGTGGGTTTCCCCAGGCACTGAGACCAGTATTGGTCCATTGTGCTTCCCTCTATGATATTCTACCAGTCTCTATACCCTACCGATATTGGTGCGTACCATCAATCCCGACCGAGCCAGCGAGTTCGGCCTCTACTGGCTTGGCGGTATCTATAATGTCTCCCCCATCTATCAGAGGCGTTAAAGACTACTGTTGGGCGGGAAATGTCCTTGAATTTAGCTCAGTGACGACTTTGGCGATATGAGGTTATTTTACGTGCCGTAAAGCTACGACATGGGACCCACGGCTTAAAGTCCTTCCCGGAGGGCTTGTTCCCTGAATTTTTCCGCCCTTAAAAATTCCACGACCTCCGCCGGGTTTGAACCCGCGTACCTTGAGTCACGAGGTGGAAACGTTACCTCTAGACTACGGAGGCCGCTAACTAAGTAAGTAAGTAAGTAAGTAAGGTACTAACAAACTAACTCCATGCAGCTGAGAAGCTTGAGAAGCTATCAGTCGCCCAGCCAATCAAGAATATCTGATCATTTTATGGAAACCAAAGTTTCATGTCCGTGTTCGCAAGAGCCTTCCAATGATCCCTATCCTGAGCCAGACAAATCCAGTCCATACAACCCCATTTTATATCCCTAAGACCCATTTTAATATTATCCCCCACCTACGTCTTGGTATTCCTAGTGGTTTCTTCGCTTTTGGCTTTCACACCAAAATTCTATTTGCATTCTTCTTCTCCGCCAATACATGCTACATGCCCTGCACATCTCATCCTAATTATACCTGAAGAACAGTACAGGTTATGAAGATATTTTGGTGCTACACAACTAATCTTGTGAAAAGTTCTATCTTCTGGGATATAAAGCTACGGCATCCAACATATCAGAGCTCTGCTTGCTACCTGTTTCACTGTTTCTTGCTTGGCTTACTATTTGGCTCTGAAGACAGAGGCTACCTGTTCCTCTGGAAAATCAGTCGACTACTGAAGGACTACACAGTGTTACATCTCTGAAGGCAGAAGTTTTCATAACTACTGCTATCAGAGCCTCAAGTCTGAAATAATTTTCTATCCATAGTCCATTTTGAACACTTTACTTTGGTGCATAATCCGCAAAGAGTTTAAAATAACTTGCTCAGTGACTAACATTTCATTGGAGCTAGAGTACATACCACCATGCCCATATGATGAACTTCCAACGCTTTCAGTCACAAATATGCAAAGTCCGATGACATAAACAAAGTCATTACAAGAATCAAACAAACAACTACCAATATAAATTGCAACACACTGGCTTGTCTCTATATTTGCTGATACAGGAAAATAAACAATGATTTAATACCTTTTTACATATATTGGTTTTTTTCTTATTTAGGTTCCAAACCTTTGCAACACAGAACCTCAAATCAGCTGACAGTGCCCTGTGCTTAACTAATTAAGCACTAAGCCATGAAGGTGTATGGTGGAATTGACGTACAGATCCACGTATTCTTGATCTTGGCACTAATTGGAAGTGAGTAGTCAGCATTACCCCACGGGAGAATCCCAGTACCCACTGGATATGAGGTAGGGTCTGCCCCGGAACTAGCCTGAATATATGTGAAGAAGAGAAAAATCTTACCCCTACTGGGACTCAAACTCTGTCCCCTCGGCCATCAAGCAAATAGCCATTCAAGCGGTATCCTGGCTCCTCCCAGCTAGTATAATGTAGTATAAAGGTAAGGTAAAGTTGTCCCTGTGCTTAACTAATTAAGCACCATGATCTGAAGGCGTATGGGGGAGCGGATGTATAGATCCACATTTTCTTGACCTCGGCACTAGTTGTAGGTGAGTGGTCAGCTTCACATCTCGACCACTTTACACCTGAGGCAAGAGCCCCCGGTACCCACTGGATAGGAGGCTGGGTGGGCCCTACATCCAGACTGAACAATATGGAGCAGAGAAAATTTTGACCCTACCAGGACTTGAACTTTGACCTCTCTGTCGTTCAGCCTGTAGGCAGTCGTTATAAAGTATAATGTGATTTAAACTGCAGCAATACAGGCTAAGTTAGGTGAGGACACAATAACATCAGAAATGCAAAACTGGCAGTCTATTCAAAAAGACAAGGTCATTAATATGAAATGAAGTTTTTAAAACTTAAAATTCTTCTGCACAAATGAAACCATAGAATGTAACCATATCCTTACGCTACGTGTTTAATAGAAGCTACGATC